TTTTTTTTGTTTTTCAAAAAAATTTTGACCAAAGCATTGTGCGCATTCAAATCAATGAGCTTTCCTTACAAAGACGTTCTTTTTATCATTATGTTCTTTAATAGAGTGTAAAAGTGTGTCCCTTTTGCTTTTTACAATTTGATTTCCTTTATCATCATGTCATGATAAAATTTACATGTTGCCAAACAATATGTGACCCTCCATACCTGTTTTTAAAAAAAAAGTACCAGTTTTCATTCAGTATAGTACCAGGTGCTTTCAAAATATTATCTTGTGTTTTAAATTTACATGGAGTACCAAATGTTTTTCTATATTGTACCTGACTTTATTCCCGGAGTACCACCACACATAAAATGGTATCAGAGCCTAGGTTTTATTAAGAATTCTTAGAAGAATTTATTACATGGTCACTGAATTTTGGTGGGGAGAATTATAAAAGAATGGATATAGAAAATTGTCCAGAATGTATACATTATCTAAGATATCTTCAAATTTTGAAGATGTGTGAATAAGAACACCAACAAATGGTTTCCCATTGAGATGACCGCTATGTTGAACAAGTTATGGCAGGAGTTAATAGAATTACAACTAAACTTTGCCAAAAACAAAAAAGTATCATATGGATGCCCTCTGGGTAAACCAATTGTTACAAACAGATTTATTAAATCATCAAGAAATAGCTCATCAAAATCACAATCATCAATGAGCTATAATAGTTTAACCTGGAAAGAAGTTATTCCAGACTCATCTAAGTTTTCTGAAGGTATTCGCGAATTACAAAAAACGGTACAAAGCTATGGTGAAAAGCAATTGTTTGTACCAAACAAGGTTCATCAGACGTTAACCAAAATTGAAGAGCTAATGAAGAGTCAAAAGGATACATTAGAAATCTTTATTGACATTCAAAAGCGAGTTAGAACTCTAGAAGATAGACCCAGTTCTTCTGGAGGACGAAGAAAAGTAACCTTCGGTACAGTACCCCTATTACACCAAAAGAGTAAACCCACCGAAGTTCGAAGGCCTATGACAGAGGACGAAAAGATGAGAGCCATCTTAAAAGGTAAATTCACTAACAAATAATGGAAAGAGTGAATTTGGAGGATCTACATGACCTTGCAGAATCTTTTGCGGGGCTGGGTCTAGTAGACTTAAAAATGAACACGGGAGATAGTTCAACAATAATAACTAGATCCCAACCACCTCCTGGAGGAGAAAGTTCGGATTCTCACCAACCTGGGGAACAACATATGCCCCATCAAGGGGATTTTCAGGTTTGGGGAGAAAGCGGGCATCCAGTTGGTACCCGAATGCATTCCCGAAGGCCTAACCTTCAAAATACCCCTTATGGAAAATCGCAACTAGATCCAATTCATCCTTATGGATTAATGTTGAATCTAGATACTTTAGATTTTAAAAATCGGGAAATCCTTATCGATGATTGGGCCTCTGCAATGAGAATTGCTGGAGGGACCTTGGATCTCAACAAAGAAGGGTTCATTTCTCTTCTCGAAATGAGCCTAGAAGGTTCAGTTAAAATTGCATGGGATATGGCTTCTCCAGACGTAAAAGGAGATGTCATAGCTAGAGAATCATTAAAAGGAATAGTCGATAATATGGCTAGAGTATTTAAGATCTTATTTATCAGCACGGGATATTTTGAAAGAGTAGATGAAGAAAAACAAAAGAGATATAAGCAAAAGAGATATAAGCACGGGATAATATTGCTTATTTATAAGCAAAAGAGATATAAGCAAGCCCTCTATTGTTTAGAATTACATGACATTTGTCATGTAGATGAATATATCAAGTTATTCACGGAGTATAGATGGAAGGCCAAGGTGGCAGATTCTGAAGCCTCCCAATTGTTCTTTGCAAAGATACCCAGTCCATGGAGAGAAATGCTAATCAAAGAGTATAAGATGGACGAGGTAGATACGTTGGCTAGAAGGATGTCATTTCTCAAGACCAAACTATCCGAGTGGTGCCATCAGGCGGCACTACACAAAAATTATAAAAGACTTAGAGGTATCAACAAATCAGTTTCTCTATGTTGTGAAGAAAATGACATTCCAACAATTATCGGGAGTCATCCACGTAGAAACAAACGGAGAAAGCATACTAGAGATGCTCACTCCCGTGGATACAAGAAGAGTAGGTCTTCATAGAGACCTAGACGATATTGGTCAAAACAAAAGACCCAAAATTATAAATCAGGACAAAGACCAATACCAAGCCGCAGTAGAGCCTCTTCTCCAGGTTCTAATCAAAGAAGTACAAGTAGAAGAACTTTCAGAAGAACTCAAACACGAGCCAATGAAAGTTTTAAAGACTGTAATTGTTGGACTTACGGAGCAAGAGGTCATATATCAACCTATTGCCCGGATAATAAAAGGCAAGGAATAAGACAGTTTGAAGCCACCCCAGAATTTGATGATGTTGTATACTACCAAGATTTGGTACAAGTGTATCAATTTGAGGATATTCCCTCAGAAGAAAGCATTTATGAAGAAGAAGAAGTCTACTCTAAAAATGGAAGTGAATCCAGTTCGGAATCAGAGTAAAGAAGATTTCTTCAACAAGTAGTAAGAGAAGACATGTCGGGAATCCTTTCCCATACGACAGTGTCTAACAAAACTCTTATGAAGATTATGAAGGAAGATCCAAAGCTTCAAATGTATGATGGATTTACTATAGGGGCAATAGAAAAGGTTATGAATAAAATAGGTTTGAGAAGTAGAAACCACCATATTATCCATAGAGTCTCAATAGGAGAGTTTGCCATTCCAATGGAATATACCGGGAATCAAATAGAGATGCAACTCATTCCCTATAAAGAAATTCAGGATATTAAAGGAAGGCTCAAAAGAGAAGTGGCTAATACACTTTCATGGATCCACATTGGAGCCATTAGAGTAGTCATCAAGTCAACCTTTAAAGAAGGAATAGATTCACCTCTTAATCTGGCGATATTTGATAAAAGGATTTCTGACCTTAAAGACTCATGTCTTGGAGGAATTACAGGAAAATTGTATGTAGGAAAATCGGCATTCAATGTCTATCCAAGAATTTCATACAATTTAGGAGATCGTGATTTTAACAAAGTTCTTACCCTACATCAAGATTT